CGACCCCAGTTCTGAATCCACTCTAATTACAATGACAGATTGATTCCAGGAAACGCAATCCGAGTTCTTTTACAATTAGCGTCTCCACAAAAGGTTGCACAATCCCTGGCCACTCACCGACGCTCTTAATACAGAGGAAGAACACTTCTCACAGTAGGTTCTCCGTAAAAGGAGGCTCCCAAAGGACCTTCAAGACAGGGAAAATACAAAAAAGTAACCAGAAAGCAAACGGTCCAGTGAGACATGAACACGACTCACAACCAAATCAAAATGGCTGTGCTCGTGTCTCTACTACAGTGTTCTGTATTCAATGAAGCTTCAGCTCTGATCCTAAAATTAGAGGTGATGGATGAATTTTGTCTGTGATAATAATAATAATGATAATAATACTTTTATCAAATAACGAATCAATATTAAGGATGAGGATCCTGCCAAACAACACATAGGAAACTGAGCAGACAATCTGTTGTGCTTGAACATCACCTCCGAGGCAAAACGAAATAAAAACAACTACATAGATTTTCACTTAAAAGTTCTTTTGATATCAGAACAACAAATTTCCATCTACAATCCAGGTTTTACATCCTTTGAGCATTAAACTATTAAATAATTTAACAAACATTCTGCAGTCAACCCCTCTTTTCATTAGACTACAAAAGTTAATCGGATGAATATTGTGTGCTCTGTAGATGGCATTTACGCTGGCTTTCCCTTCAACCCCCTCTCCTTCTAACAACACAGCGCTAATGAATGAACTGGGATTCAATCCGGAAGACTTGAAGGATGCGTTTGAAAACAAACGTTTTAACAATGTGACAGCTACTTATCTACTCCTTTCCGATACCGAGACACGGCATAGACTGACCAGAAAGCTGCAAAACCAGTGTGAGACCGCAAAAATGATGCTCCAAACAGCCGTTGTCTCTGACTTAGAGACCGAGTCGTCCGACGACGATCCGCGAGTGGACATGGCGCAACGATCTCACTCTGCACTAGTCTCCAACGTTCCAGGTAGTCAAAACAAAATAAACTTAGTTGTTGGCTTTATTATTCACCTAATGTGTATAAAATATCTATCTGGTGAATTTCTAATTTATCGTTGTATTTTAACTTATTAAACAACGAAAAACTTAAATCGAACACAAAATATAGCAACGATTTCTGTGTGTATCTGATTCAAAGTGCAAACCCTTGTTGCTAGAAAATCCCGGAGATTTGTAATGGGAAATCTCTCAGACGTGGCTCACATTTACTTCCTACTTGACTCGTCACCATCACCTTTCGTCGGGTTGAATAAACGTGCAACCATTTACAAAATTATCTACCAGATTTGCACGGCTTCAGGGAATCCCATCTAAGTTTGATGGCGCCAATGATGTGTTTGCTATACTCTTAGACTTGGCGTGAGCACACCTCAATGTTTGTGATGCAAACAAGTATCCCACCGCATTAACCTAACGATTGTCTGATTTCAGGTCAGGCCAAACGAATCATGGTACAGGAATCTCTGTGATAGAGAAACCCATATATAAGTTTTCTTGTTGGTGCAATACTGATAGATTGCTCAAATCAATTGGAAACTCTTGACATAAGCCTCCAGTCAACCGAAGCATAACTCGTCCGGCGAGAGGTGGTGTACATGAAAATGGAAGTCCACTGAGGGCGAATCTCTAGTCAGTCAAATTATAGGCCCTTAGAGTGTGATTCACGATTTCATTGGATCCTATGTACCCCACCGTTCAACTGAGCCAGTAACCGGGAGACCAGGAGACTCTTCTTGAGGGGTTTGCACTCGGAGTTTTTCAGCTCCTCTAGATGAACCAGCCGTTCGCGGGGTAATCAGATGGTTAACATCATCAATTTGGGTGTGTTCAAATCTCACCTAACGTTCCCTACTTTCTATGTATGGCACTTTTTTCATTGACCGATTTTACCTTCATGAAGACTGTATGTTTATATATATTCCATAAAAGGAAAACAAAATAGTAGAAAAAAAAACAACCTTAACCTGCAGAGTGGGCTTTCACCTTCTTAACTTAATAAAGACACTCCGTGACGGAAGGTAGACAGAGATGTGTAGAATTCCTTCACCATGTGATCTGTGAAACTGACTATATGAGAACATTTCTCGGGGTGAGAAGGAATCCTCGACAGCCACTGAAATAAAAAATAGATAAGTAACTGAAAATAATGATAACTGAATGTTGATGAGAGCAATGACTCTGTATTCTCGTCTAAGTAAGTTTGTTGTAGCTAACAATGGCATAGTTTGCAAACTTTCTATCAGGATGATTTTATGCAACATTTAATGCAATAGGGTTTATTGCTTGCTTGTTTGTTTGTTTATTTGAAGGGATAGTAACGCACTTCCTGTCCCGCAGAACAGCAGAACATTTTTCAGTGTTTAAATTACGAAATTTGTGATGCTTCAATAGTGCATCAGTCCTTACTTCAATTTTGTCCAAACATACTTATTTGAAAATCAAACCTTGGAGTGGTGACACTTACGTAGATCTTACGACAAGGCAGCTATCTAAACGCATCAAAGAACATCAATCAAGATGGCTTAGACACGGACCAATCGGAGTTATTTCTGTTCGACTGTTGCAAACTTGGTTGAAACTAGGCGTAAGGTGGATGCTAATGCGGCTTTCACCACCATGTATCGCATCCCACAACACAAATCCAAGGCTATTCGAATTAAAACGCTAGCACTAGCAGAGGCAATCACCATCCGCTTGTTGAAGCTAGAATTGTGTGATCAAAAACACTGGTTCACGCACAAACTTCCTGGTCCAAAGCGGATAAAATCACGCTTAAGTGTTGTGATGACCCAAATCAATTATCAGCGCTTATTTAGCCCGTTTTTAACTAAACAAGGGAATTGGAGACAAACGCGTCCCCACCCCACCCCTTTGCAATAATTATTTGACCTCGACTGTTTGACCCCAACATAACACTCTGCATTTTCTTACATAAATGTGACCGTATTGCATTGAGAAGGAACTCACCGAAAACCCGTTTGCTTACGATCTGTGTTCTGAAACCATGGCGTACTTTACTCTTTTGAGTTTTTTATTTGATCAGGGTTTAATACATGAATCATTGAGAACAGAGGAAAATCAGCTGTGGGACATCCTCAAGAAAATTTGATCATGAACCTAAACACATTCTCTTCCCCTATGATAAACTGAACAAATTTTTGAGCATGACTGATGAATCTCCGGAATCGTTCGACTGCGTGTCAACTGATACTATCTACGGAAAAACCCGTTTCATTGACCAACCGTGGCTAATGGGAAATATTACATAGTCTAAAATATAACCAAGGTAAATCCAATCTAATCCACAGCTCCTCCTGTTGGCATGGGATTGGTCTCGCTCGACACCTTTTATCTCCACAAATCATATTAACTGGCTGCTTTTGATAAGGCATGAACACAAAAGTGGTCTTTTGCGATCCACCTGCTGATTTGTTGCTTACCGTTATCTAGCTGACAATGAGATAATGAATCCAGTTTTTTTCAGTGAACAATAATTTGTTCCACCTTTACGATTCTTTTTAGCGCAATTACTATCTATATATTGCCGTCACCTGCTTAATTCGTTGAATTATGAAAAAACTAACAAAATGTTGCGTTGGAAGAAGCTGGTTGATAACAGGAATCCAAAAATATGAATTAAATCATTATCAATAACCCCTTTTCCCTCCGTGTTACCCTTGGATCTAACCGTCACTGGTACATATACACACACACACACACACACACTGTTGCCCTTTGTATAGCACACTTGGATTCACGAGTTCGAGGTAGCTGGGTGACCGGAAGTCTGCGAGATCGCGATACGCAGAACACGTCAAACTTCTATTCAAAACCAAAGTAAGTTTCACTAAGTACGTGTATCCTGGTACTGAAGACTTTTATCCCTGTAGTATTGATTTTTTCCTTCTATGGTCAAATTTTGTTTATTAAATGACCAAGAGGATACGGAGCAATATCACATGGCAGCCGACGGTGAATGATTATATTGATTTCCAATTCTCTTGACCCAGTTTGGCCAATGGATTGCCATTAATTAAAACAATGATTTAAGAATGTCACACCGGAGTTTATGGTCGGAAACCGGAATATCGTGATGTGCAGTTTGATGAAACAGACTTGAGATAGTGGTAAGTAGATTGTTACGCGAATGTATAAATACAGAAACGAGCTTCTTTAATCCAGGAAGATGAGAATGCCTCTGGTCTAGATCGACCTGGTTACTTAAATAATAATTTCATCTGTCCATTCTCCAGCACATAACCTGAAGTACACAAATGAGGTAACGATGTTCAAAACTTCCTACAATCTTGGAAACTTCACTTTTTCCTCCGAAACATGACTGTTTCTAAAATCGTTCTCTCTTCACGAATAATAAAATAGAGAATTATAATCCTACATTAAAAAAAACTAACTCGATCAAACGTTCAGCCATTCGGAGAGGTAGTTCTATCTAATGGTCTCTCCACGATCACTTTTGCTCTGGAAATCAGAGAGGTTTATCCTTACAAAAGCACAAATTCAAACTGTTTCGTTCGCCATAAACAGTCAATTTTAAATTCGTTATATGCTTCGCTATTGCCATCTTAATTTTCTTTAGTGTGGTTACTGGTTTCTTGAAATCAGACCAAAGGATTTTTCTTGAGTACTTGTCATTTAAAAGTGGTACATCTCCCCCGCATTCAATTAAATATTTCATCGTGCCGCACAGTGATTCAAGTAGATTCTCTTACTTACAGTTTGACCCATTAAGTCCTGGCGAAAGCTGTACATCTTACGTGTAATGATCCGTCCTCCTATCTTTCAAATTCCCTAAATCAACACGTTTTTCACTTGGCAAAACTGTCCAAAGGATACCCAGTGTCTCACATCTGTCTCGGATTTCAGCTATAGAACGAGATCGACGACTAATCTATGTTCTACGGTCTAAATGTACTGATTCTGTTGTATTACCTAATCGCTGTGTCTGGTTCTTTTACCATTTCTGTTGTATGACATTCGGTGTGCATCTTCAAACTGAAATTGCAGAATGTGACCAATGCCCATGCCCCATAGTCTGGGAATTGGCATGAACTAAAACAAGAATGATGTGAGCATCTGATCCACCATGTAGCTCGGAGCTAAGGGTTACACATCCCAACCTGGAGGCTCGTGGCTCCGGTTCCACGCCTGAGACTAAAATAGTACGCAATGCTGATAAACCTCAACTGGGATTAAACAGCTGTCCAAAAATTTGTGTCGACTATGACACACTGATCCATCAATAAATGAAATATTCTCATATTTTTACAAATGGCATTCCAGTGCAACATACTATAACTGGAAGAATAATTCAGATCGCAGAGTAATATCATTTTTGAGATTGGTGAGCAAATTTTACCGCATTGTTTCTGCGAGGCTCAAAGATATCGGTGGTACATTTTGGAAAGGTAAATTTGGTTCATTTATCCAAACTCAGTGAGATGATCCATAACCACCATTTTGATGGTACACGACGAATCCCTAACAAAGTTGAACATTCTGGCACTCACTTGGCCAAACGTCCTAACGACCTCACACTAAGGTATCGGAAAATAAGTGTATATTTAACTGGTAGAAACCAATAACTAATATTGATCCAGTAGCCTTTAGGCAACATGTGAGTGAATGGTTGTGTCTTTGTCACAAATCACATGTACAATGAAGATTTTTCGCCACAGTTTGGCTAAATCTTGTGATGGAAGTTCGGATATTTTATTTTCTACTGAAAAAATCGATGCGAATACCTTTATAGTCTAAATTTCTACACATTATTTCTGACTCTTCTGAGTCGATTGTCAAACGGTTCTCAATAAATAACAAACTTCAAGGCATCCCTAAAATTCGACAGTTCATAACCTAGTCTAACTTGGATACCCATATTCTCAATTTTGAATGCCAGACAAAAAGCTACATTTGATCCTATCTGAATTTGAACAAAAAATAATTGACACCTCTCTTGTTTGTTACCGATCGGCATAACTTTGCATTATCAAAAGTAATAAGTAAACCGTTTGTTAAATCTCATCAACCAATCTACACTATAGTAACTCTACAAGCATCTGAATACTTAAGCATAAAGAAAAAACCAATGAATGTTTCCTTCATGTAGCAAGTAAGTGATGCCATATTTCGGCCGCACTCAGGTTTCATGAAGATTCTTTTAGGTATTAAGTATTTGCAGCAATGACCTCATAGCTTCGGTTCTCTTCTGTATATGGTCCTTCGTTATTTATTATAAGGATGCATGCTGGCACATTTCAATCATGCCTTTGCAAACCACATTTAAGTTATTTTAGATCAAACATTATCGATAACACTGCTTG